CTACACATCATGCATCAATTGCACTTAGAATCATGCATTCCATATTCATCGAAAAAAAAAGTCTTGCATTTTGTACATACTTGCATAAATCACCACTAATAGGTTACATATGTGCATATAGATCTAGGACCACACACATACATTTGCATAAGTTTTTCCTCTCGAAAATTTGGCCAGATAACAATGTGGGGGTATAGAGTGAGGATTGGTTTGGTAAGGTTCTAGGAGCTAAGTTTAGATTTATCTAAAGAGTTGAATGGATTGTCGGGTGAGGTAGAAATAGCTGATCCAACCCTTGAGCGAATGGATGTTACGTGGGATGATTTTGTCTCCTAAAGTCTAGATGGAGTAGAGGTTACGAACCAAGCACGAAACGTCTCCCTAAGAACCACCCTTTGATCTCTAAGTTATGAAGCCTATAGAAAGCAACAAGCCCTAGAAAATACGATGCATCCCAACACTCCTCTGTCATCATCTCGTCAATGAAAATCATTCGGAGACATGAGTGCATCGAAAATGAGGGCACGGGTCTAAGTTGTGGGACAAGAAAAAAAAGAAAAGTGACGCTTGTCAAATTCCAACGTCCTAGAAGCCCGGGATTGCACGAAAAGAAAAAGAAAGAAAAAGAAAAAGAATGCAAAAACAAGAATAAAAAGGAAAGAGGTAGGGCGAAGAAAAATAGTGAAAGTATGGGCCAAGTAATTTTTAGAGACCTCGATTGGGATGTGTTTAGGAAACATGCTCGGCAAGTAAGAGATACTCCATTGTAGGTTGCGGGAAACAATAGAAATCACATTGATAAACTTTCGTTTGAATGTTGGAGAAGATAGAGTACACCAAACCCGATTTCATTCACAGCGACTCTAACCCGTACCACTAATCCACTTCAAACCCCATTTGTTTTCTGATTATATTTTATCACCCCTGGACTTACTCGAGGACGAGCAAACCTCAAGTCTGGGGGATTTGATCACACGGGATTTTCACCGGTTTTTCTAACGTCTTACATCATACTTTGCACATACCTTAGGCATAATAGGACGTTAGACGGTCATGGTATGATTCTTTTCTCCATTTTTTCATGCAGGATGATCAAACGAGGACATTCACGCACAAGGTACGGAAAAGGAGCAGAATCGAGAAGTCCCGGAAGGCTCAGAGAAAATGGGCGGCCCACTCATTTTGCCGAGCGGTCGTCCATTGGCGAAATTTATCCCGGAAATTTGATCAGAGAAAATGGGCGGCCCGCCTATTTAATCGAGCGGTCGTTCGACGCCGAAATCACGGGAACAGGCGGTCGCTCAAGAAACCAGGCGGTCGACCGTACGCAATGAAGAACGAGCGGTCGCTCGAACAAACGAGCGGTCACCCGGAACCAGAAAAACGGGCGACCCTGAAGACGAAAACGGGCGACCCTGAAGAAAAAGTGAGCGACCGCCCGTTATTAAATATGGCCCAAAAAGGAAAAAGCCCGATTTTTGAGGAAAAACCTAGCTGCTACACTTTCATAAAAAAGGGAGTTTGAGGAGAGAGAGGGGGGACTGGACCAACTTGAAGAAAAACACCTTGGAGAAGTGAAAAAAGAGATTTTGGAGACCTAGGAAACTTGGAGAAGAAAAAGACCACCATTGAAGACCATCTTGAGCTTCTCTTCTCTTTCTCTATGTTTTTTCATTTTGCTTTCTGTTTTAAAACCCTAGATATGGAGTACTGACTTTGTTGTGGGTGAGGGATCCCCACTTTTGTATGGATACCTATGCTTAACCTATGATGTTTATGAGTTTTCTTCCATGGGTTTGATGTTTTGTGCTTAATGCTATCAACTTTGGCGAAATCTTAGTTGGTGTGATGTTAGAACACATTGATCATAGGGATATGGGGATGATGTTTGGAACCAAACATCAAATGAGTGAGTTATTCACATTGGGAGATGGTTAAGCTTGCTTAGGGTTCATGATGGGGTACATTAATGCATCTAGAGATCATTTAGATCATTGGAAAATGGGTAAATCGATTCTCTAGGTAGTGAGTTTAAGCTCGGAAGAGACAAACTCTAGATGAAGTGCTTGAAACCCCTATTTGGAAGATAAACCCGTAGATATTGTAGTATCATCAACCGTCCATGCAAGTCATGAGAGATCCCGAATCCACAACGCCTAGAAATTTCATTCCGATATCCATCACAAATTACATTTTTATTTGACCATCAATATAGCTTAGGGATAGACTAATACAACCTAGTCCTCGTGTTCGACCCCGTTACTACCACTACCGTATACTTGCGGATAGTGGTACGAATCGGGTACTAAATATAAGACTCGGTGCGTGCGCATCAACCTCAACTTTATAAAATATGCCAAATAAATATTTAAACTTTTAATTTTATCTAATTGATACTTTAAATATTTAAATATTTCAAATTGATATATCAAATATTGAAATGTTCCAAATAGATATCTTAACTCATGAAATCGATAGTAGTACTTAACCTCGAATATGACGACGAAATATAAATTAAATGTTAATTTTCAACATAAAAAAACAAAACTCACAAAATCGATAACAATTAGATGTTAATTAGATGTTAATTCTAAAATAAAAATGATTTGAGGTTATAATTTGTTCTCGATTTTATGAGTTTGAGATATCTATTTGGAGCATTTTAATATTTAATGTATTAATTTGGATTATTTTAATATTTAAGATATCAATTAGATAACATTAAAGTTTAGATATTTATTTGACATATTTTATAATGTTGAGATATATTTATATGAGATTGTTTTCTAAAATTTATTATTTTTATTATAAAATAATTAAATTCTGTTTGATCGCAGTAAACGCGGGATGTTGAAAATGAGTAGTTAAAATGATTGATGACGACTAGGGAGCGAGTGCGTTGACGGCCATCTTGAGACCAGCTGCGCAATCTTCGGGATAATATGCTCCGATGAAATAGTTGTCACCGAACACGAGTTGGATTTTGTCGTGACCCGATTCGTATAATGTCGCTCCCTCGTTCGGTATACATGTCTCGTACGCCGTTTGGTTCACTACGTATACGTTGCTTCTCTGATAGTCGTAGTTGAACACTGCAAACCCGCATTCATACGGATTACATTCGTGTAATGTATAAATGTACGTATAAATATATATCTTTACAATTCTATTCGTATAACAAATATTGATTTCAGTATATTTCCATTTATAAATATAAAACAAATAATTTCAATATAAATTTATTTATGAGACTACTGTCTTTCCATTTACGTACCCAATGGAATAATTTTCTAGTTTCATTCCTCTACATAAGGAATCTTTCGAAAATTTCAAATACGGTTTACTGTTGGATTAACATGACTTTATGTATAAAGATCTATATCATGAAACCCTAAATAGAACAATTAGATTCTACATACATATGCACATACACATACATACAGGGTAGACGTACCAAGAATATCGCCGGCGTAAAACGTCTTGCCTTCAGTCCAAGTGTACATGGGATTAATCATGTCCCATCCGTCCTCGTCACCGACAATGATTGTATGTTGGGGCCGAGCCTGAGCCATTCGGCTGACCAACGATGTCATCACCATGACCAATAACACTGTCATGGCCGCAATCCCAACCTGTCTCTGTCGTTGTCCGACCATTTTCTCTTCCCGCTCTTTAAATTCTAATGACAACTTAGTGTATGTGAGATGGTAATGATGATGGATTGTTTGATCGAGTGTCTTTTAAGATGTTTTTATACTCTTTTATGGTAGGGGTGTCGGTTTCGGGTTGGTAACAAAATTCAATGTATAATACATAATCATATCTAAATTCAATTAAATATAGAAATTAATAATGGTAAAATCTAATTTTTTTAGAAAATAAATATTTTTAAGAATGATATTGAAATCCGAGCAAAACCCAAAAAGGAAAAAGAGTACTTTATCTAACTACTACTACTATTATTATCTAAGTTTATATTCTACCATAAAGAGATTAATTTTAATTTAATTTAAAATTTAGGCGATATACTTCTATAATTAGGTGATCCGTGCAATCTATATATTCTATATATTTCAGGATTTTTTTTTAAAAGATTTGCACAAATATACCTTTTTTGGAGAAATTGGCCACATATGCAATTTTTTTTACCAACTTTGCAAATTATTCATTTTGATGGTAAATTTCCTAAAATACTCTTAGTTTATTAATAAAATGATAGTTGGCAAAATGTACCCATACAAAAACGAAATTTGTAAAATATCTTACACAAAAACACCTTTTACATACAATATTTTTTTTCTAAATATCCAAAATATCCTTCACGTTATTTCTCTGCGATTATGTGATAATTTATCTTTTAGAAATTGATACGTATTGATATTTGCACTTCTATTTTTTCCAACATTTTCTCTATCTCCTCTATTTTTTATAATTTATCTCATCTATTCAAATACTCTTCTGGTTGATTTCTTTTCTATGATATTTTGATCATTTTCTTTTATACACACAATGTGTTTGATGAAATGTCTGTAATAGAAAACTGTGTCAGATGACCTGCGGTCTGTGGTAGATGATCTGCGGTCTACGAATGTCTACGACAGATGACCTACGGTCTGCGGCAGATGACCTACGGTTTACGGCAGATGACCTGCGATAGATGACCCGTAATCTGCGACAGATGACTTACGATCTGTAGCAGATCACCTGCGGCCTGCGGCATGTCAACTGCAGTCTGCAGCAGATGACCAGTGGCAGATGACCTACGATTTGCGGTAGGTCACCTGTGGTCTACGGCAGGTCACCTGCAGCCTACAGCAGGTCACCTGTGGCAGATGACCTGAGGTCGGCAGGTGGCAGGTGACCTGAGGTCGGCAGGTGACCTTGAAGGAAAACGAGGAGCCTAACGTTCTAATCGTAGCTACGATTTATGTCTAGGTTTACATGTAGCAGAACAATTACATACAATAACTGCATGAATTTAAACCTAAACTAACCAGATTATCCTAATACATGCGGTAAAATGTACCTTAAAACGTAGAATCAAAGAGTGGAAGATGTCATAGAGATGAAGGAAAAGCGTGCAAAGAAGAACGTCTCTATCAGTATCTATACGTCGGGTCTGTATGCTAGTACCCTCAGGATTCGTCAGTTTAGGCAATACAAAGTTTTCGTATTCCAACTCAGAATATTTTCTTTTGTCGGGTTTTATGTTTCTGTTGGTTTCTAATGATTTATGAACTGACATCTGATGTCAATTTATAGAAATATCAAAGCAAATAAAGAGTCAAGTTCGTTTAATATGTTTCAGAATACAAAGAGACACGAAATGAATCTCGTATTTTAAAAACACCGAGACTAATCTCGTGAATATAAACCGATAAAATAACCGAGTAATAAATAGGGCCAGAAAAATATACCCGAGCCTATAACCGATAATATCAAATATATAAATCCGGTATAACCCTATGTGTGTGACCCGATAGGCCCCGTTTGACGTGATCGTAACAATAAAATCCTATTTTACCGTACACGTTGATAGTGGCCTCTAGCAAGACATATCAACTACATACATTAAACCGAGTTATCATCTCGATTGTGCCTACAATATCATCAAACTAATATCCCTTTGTCTCGCGATATATACCAGTCGAACGTAAGGCATGGTGCCAATCAACCTTAACCAATTCGACCGCTTTCTCATCCATTAATCATCTGTTAATATAGATGTCCGACATCTATGGCTTGGCCAAACACTTTACAACATGATTAACCACCGAGTGGCCAGCGATATCTATCCCGTAATCAGGAGAAATAAATTACCATCTTGATACATTACGACCCACGACGTAATTCGTTGCGCATTTGAACATAGCCTTTATAACCACCGTGTTAAGGCGACGTTTGACTATGTCAAGACACAAAACTAATTATGGGAAATACCAATAGCTATCTCATGTCAAAGGACAAAACTGAAATATTATAATGATGTCGGTTTTGATTCATGACCATGAAGCGACCATCATGTGGGTTAGCTAGTCACACATTCCAAACGTGTACCTGTGATTGTAGTATGTATCCAATACGTCATGCGTACACGTCACACTAGTCTTCCTTTATTATCGTTTCCACGATAATAACTGACCAGGACATCTAGTATTATTCCAAATAATATGAGGATAATGTTTATTATTAATGAACATGCAAATATAATAATAAATGAATAATCATATTATTCCATGTTCATCTACATATGAGCATAAACACAACAAACCTACGGCCTGTGGCAGGACACTACGAATATAATGCAAATATGACCATAGAATTAACGTTAACGACAACCGTGATTTCACTATGAAAATAATGGAAATACGACTATATAATTAATGTTAACTACGATCGTGATTTCACTACGAACATAATGCAAATACGACCATATAATTAACGTTAATTATGACCGTGATTTCACTACGAATATAATACAAATATGACTATATAATTAACGTTAACTACGACCGTGATTTTACTACGAACATAATGCAAATACGACCATATAATTAAAGTTTATGAACATTATTTCACTACGAACATAATGCAAACACGATCAAATAACTACGACTGTGATGATACTATGAACATAATGCAAATACGACTAGATAATTAAGAATAACTACAACCGTGATTACATTACGAACATACTACAAACGTGACCAGATAATTAACGATAACTATGACCATGTCCGTTTACCTGTTCTCTCGATCCTTTTGCAAGTTGGATCAGATTTTCTCAACTCTATCTCTCTGCAATTATGTGATAATCTATCTTTCAGAAATCAATGCGTTTTGAGATTTCTTCTTCTGTTTTCTCCAACATTTTCTCTATCTCCTCTATTTCTTACAGTTTATCTCTTCTACTCAAATACTCTTCTGGCTGATTTCTTTTTCTGTGGTATTCATATGATCATTTTATTTTCTGTACACAAGGTGTTTGGTGAAATTCCTGAAACAGGAAACTACGACAGGTTCTAGCATTTAACCTGCGGTCTACGGTAAGTCACATATACGTTCTGTGGCAGGTCATTTGCGGTCTGCTGCAGGTCACTTGCGGCCTGCTGCAGGTCATTTGCGGCATGCAGAAGGTCACCTACTGTTGGTTGTAATGCTCTAGGATGATCCATGATATGACATTTTACTTTGTATTGATTCATTGATTTATGAATGCATTATTTATCCGTTATACGATTAGCATGTTTGTTGTATTTCAGCATCCTTGAATCATTAGAGAATGATTCTAAACTCCCTAGTCAGTCATCATTGTGAGAACAATGTTAAATCAAGACTAGCATGAGGTGTGATCAACGCATTGGATGTAGATCACAATCATGGGTACTCGTTGTGAACGAGTGACTAGATGACCCACATGAGATTGTCACATGGACAGAGTCATGACTTGAATCTCATACAACGGTTCGTTTATGGATCCTCATACCTGAGATGTCTAGAGTATCTGATATGAGGAGTGGCGTGTCTTGACTGCGTCAAACGTCGTCTTTAACCGGATGATTATAACAGCGTTGATCAGATACGTTCACGAATCATATGAAGATAGTAGACATGCAATATGGGACTTGGCACCTCCTTAACAGGAGAGATATCGCCGGGCCCTCTCGTGGAAGTCAGACTATGAAAACGCGTGGCCACGCTATAGATGAAGTTGCATCTATTTTACTAGTCGATTTACCAAGACGAGAAAGCGGTTGAACTTGAAGGGTGGCTCAAACCATGCCCTTGTTCAACACATGATATCGTGAGATAAAGGATCAGAACTCGAGCTGTTATTGCCTTGGTTAGATTACCTCTAACTCAATTCTAAATGGGTGGTCATGGAGTCTTGCTAGAGGCTAACCATGACTTGTGGTTCGGGAAAGGTTCCTAAAGTCACTACCACTTAGAATGGGCCTACACGGTCACACACCAATAGGGATGGACTTATACGGGAAGAATACGAAGAATGGAAACGAGATTTGACCGAAACGAGCATGAAAAGGAGTTTTCAGTGCGTTGGTCCGGAGCTGACCAAGTTTGGTCAGCCCCGGACCAAGTCGGTCAGCCCAGGAGGTCCGGAAGTCTGCCAGGAGGTCATCTGTCCAAGTCTGGTCTGGTTGACCAAAGGTTGGTCAGCCGCGGACCAGACAGCGGGTCAGACGGACCTAGACTGAAGCCAGGCGGATCGGAAAGACCGAGAAGGGTCTTGGTCCGGAGCTGACCACACGTGGTCCGCCGGACCAAGCCTTGAGGTCAGCCGGTCCACGAGCGTCGGACTAAGCCTGGCCCGCCACACCAAGCTCCTGGTCCGGCGGACCGGGATCTGGGAAACTTTTCAAAATTCGATTTTAGGGTTTTCTAATCTTATTTAGGTTTGGGATTTCGTCCAAACTTAAAAAAGGCCGACCTAAAACTCAGAGAAACATCCTAGAACCCTAGAGAACCTGTTCTCTTCGATTTCTATTGTCCCGGGATTGGATCTCGTCTCTTGAGTTACCCTTTTCTTCACTAATCCTAGCAGATTCGTTCCAAATCATTTGGAATCCTTCCCGTCGGTGTGGATACGTGTAGAGGGACTGTAACTTCAGTCCTAGGTGATTTAGAACAGGCCACAGATCGAAATAAACTTCAAGTCTCATCGAGAACGAGGTAGGTAACGATTCCCTCGATGATATACACGATC